CAATGGTAAAATGTCGATCGGGCGAGTACGAAAAAGGTTAGGTCACAATTCATTCTGTCCCTCCGAACTCCGAAGACCCTAGATAACCGGAACCAACATTGGGTAATGGCCCTTTTATAGTAGTGAGAAAGGTTGGGTTAGAATTTATTATGTACCTCCCAAGACCCTAAATAGCCCTTTTATATCATGAAAGGTTGGGTATTGGCCCTTTTATATCATAATAGTTTTAGGTCTCATTAAGATTACAAACATGTATTGTTGCATACAAAACTATAGTGACAAGGTTTAAAATTGAAAAAGTTGCAAAATAAGTAGACTCTTCAATATTTTAGTAAGTAGAAATTAGCTGTTACTAAGGCTGAATTTGCTTGTAGTGCAAATTCCATCTGCACYGGCGTAAAATAATAGAAGTGCAAATAGGTTGACTATAAATTATGGTTTACTTTTCACTCAGATTTAACTTTATCTTATTTGTTTGTGAAAAATAAAATGAAATAGTCCCCATCTTATATGAAAGAGAATGGAGGATTATTTGATTGGGAGTGAAATAGGAAGCAAGATGAGGTGATCCCATTTTGCATCACTTTTCGGAATACAAAATTTCACTGCTAATGAGTGCAAATGAGACAAAAAAAAAAATGTAAATTTTGTATTAGACAGGAGTGCAAATCATAATTACAAATAAACAGAYATGCACTGAAAAGTGAAAACAAACAGAATCTTAAGATTGATAATCAAAGTAACCAACTAAATAATTTTATCATTCTATGTGGGAAAAAATTGTTACTGATGAGTTCATTTAATGGGGATCATGAAACATGTCAATATCAAAACTAAAAAAGATATTTCCATAAATGAATACATCCAGTGCAGTTAAAACCTATTGGTAGCTTTGATAATGCAAATTGCAACACAAATAGCATCAGTTCCTCCCGTCTCTGCAGGGGAACACCTGGGACCCTAACAGTAACGACAACATTGATCGATAGAAAGTGAACCCAAWWAAAGAACAATTTAATAAATGAAATGAAATGAAAGAAAAAATTGATGAAAAATGGATGGATGGATAAAATGGATGAATAAAGGAGCATCTCAGAAATARTAAGTTGAAGATAATTAATGTATCTGAAAAYATTCATATTTTCAATTGTAAAGAAATGGGCATTTGGATGCAATTTCTTAATATTACAACATCCTGCAACATTGCCTTTCTGATACCCATTACAAAGCTGACAAGACTCTACTTTCTCAGCATTTGCACTCCAGAGGATCATTAAGCTAATAGCAGGTCTTGGAGGTCTTCTCCCTGTTTAATAGGGACTAAGCCCCAGCTAAATCCTCCAAACGATGAGCTATATACCGTAGTTTACATGGCAGTTCAATGACACTGATACAAACCCCCACCACCTTCAGCATTAATGTATTTTAGATCCAAAAGAAACCTAGCCTAAACAATGTTTACGACCAAAACATGTTAGTCCTCTAAACAATGTGGTGAAAGACAGCTTTCWTGGCATAGGGTATTCGACCAAAATGTACAAAACCCTTACCAAAGGAGTATCAAGAAATGAATCAAACACAGACAATGAAGTGGATGTCCCTCCCCTTCGACTTTTTTGTCCAGAAAAATTTTGTGCTCTTCCTATCTCTTCCTCACAGTGGCAGCCATTTTTTCCTCACACTTGAGCTTTTCAGCAGCATTTAGAAGCATATCCACTGATCCTACAGCTTCGATTGCTGACTGCTTCTTCTTCCTCTTCTGTTGTTTCTCATGATCCTCATATGCCATCTTTGCCTTCCGTATTGCCTCAATCCCACCATCACATTGGCTGCAGAACCATTTCCCTCTTGGAATAGAAGTACGAGGAGGTTCCATACAATAAATGTGATATGCTTCATCACAGCCATCACAGAGGACAATATCATCATCATCTTTATCAGTCAAACAAGCTCTACAGAGACATGAAGGGCAGTACCAACATGATCCATGGGACTTCAACTGCTGACTCGWCAAGCACCTTACATGGTAGTACTTGAAAGGACAGAGGGGGTGTCCACACGCACGGAACTTCTGGCCATCCTCTCCCCCACTTCCACAGAACTTGCAAGACATTTTCTTTATGTTTTTGCTGGACAGATGGAGCCCATTTTTAGCATCCATACTGCAATCTGACCTCTCTTCCAAGTCACTAAGCAACTCTTCACCGGTTGGAACCATCTCATCCCCACCTCCATTGGTTTGGATCCTGGTGTCATTAATCCTCTCACATACAACACAATTGTCATGCAATGATTCAACCCCACTTGCAGTGCAGTTGGCACAAAACCAACTTGTTGGTGGAATCTCCTCCACAGCAGGCTCAATGCAACGGATATGGTACACTTGCTCACACGAATCACAAACCAAGAAATCTTTTCCCTCCGTCTTAGATCTGCAGCGCATACATTTATAATCTTTGTCCATGGCACAAGCCTCTGTTTGCTCCGATTTGGTGTGGTCAGAATCCTGGGTAAAAAAAAAAAAAAAAACAGTATCAAATGATTCTTTCAGGACCAACTTGATTGATCTTCTGCTAGTAGTCCTAATCTTACTGGCATAATAAAAAGAATGGCATATATGAAAGTACAGATGTAAACCGAATTCTGAATTTGCAGTTCCAATCAACATTAATGTTTTACATGGCTGATAATATACAGTAGAAGAAAATTATTTACCTCAAATTTTCCTTCTTCATAAGCACCATTTACTAGGCCTCCCACCTGAGATAAAAAGTAAATTAGGATGAGTAAAGTGTAGCAAATAGGTGACTGAACAAAATGCAGGAAAGTTTTGATTTAGAAGCAAAAGGCCTCCTGGAGAACAAAGCCCAAAAATATAGGCGGTTAACCAGATAATCAGGTGTATTACAGTATTGATTCTATGATGCCACTGGAGGTCATGCTCTGGGATAAACCATTCTCCATACCTTCTCACGGTAAGAAGTCCGTGACAAGTCTGAAAGGCTCTTCGCAAGAGAAACCATTTCGGCTCCTATTCTCTGGAACTTTCCCCACACCTGGGAAACATTTAGGCATGAGATATCCATACCATGAGAACTAATTTTGAATTACATTCTTGAAACAAATTATGATATATGAAACCTCATGTTTTAATAGGAAAAACACCCAATACTGATGAAGAAAATAGGGAAAATGCCCAATTTAAGAGATTCAAATAACCACCACCATATCTCATCTTGATCTTCAGTGAGGTTACCAAGAAAATCAACGTAATCTTCCACTTTATTTAGAATAAGGTGGACACTTTGTATTATTTGGCTCACTTTCCATTTTTAATAAATTTCCTTTTATTTACTATGCAGAGAAAAGAATAAGGTGGTCCCTTGTAACTTTAAGATTAACACCAAAAAAATGGATCAAACAAGGAGGCAAGAATTAAACCAACAATTAAATAGCATAACTGTCATGATCTTGTAACCAGTATAAGAAAACCGACTGAGTTTCATTGGTGATAAGAGGTAAGAAAATACAACASTACTCTCCTTTTTTATTATATTCATTCAAAGAATATATCATTGGTGTACAAGTATAACCATGTAGAGATATTATTTACAAAAAGAGGATTCAATTAGACCTGTCCTGCCAACCTTCAAAAACAAAAATGGCAGGATCCAAATTACTTAGATGGGCTATTCCTTTTAATTGCTCCATTGCAGCCAACCAACAATGGATGGTGCTCAAAATCTTCCTGATTAGATCTTCCCTGCTCCTATTATGAAATATTCTCTGATTCCTCTCCTTCCAAATACAYCATGACACTGCAGCTGGAATAATACTCCACAATTTTCTACCTTTTTCAGTTACACCTTTCAMTTTCCATGAGTAGCATTGGAATAATAGGACAGAACTTGCAAAACAGTCATCAACTGTCAATGTCACACCATTGCATATTCAAAGCAGCTACTTATTTGCACCTGGCTCTGGCCTTCTCCATTCTAATCATTCAGGTCTACTCACATCCTTTCTAAAGACTTTGTTGAACTGCTAGCTGACCTTGGCCCAGGGATCCATCTGAATGAGCAATTCAGATTGGAAGATAACACCAGTACTTCTCTAATCTTAAACCCCAATGTCCTTCAGATCTTGATTGCAGCCAGGTTACAACAAGCTCATAATCGCCTTCCACCACAAGTCAATTCCATCCACATTTATCAAAAAGAGTACTAACAGTTCAGCCCTCTCCAAGTTACCAATCCCAGCAGGCCAGCAGGGACCCAATAACTCATTAAAATGGTACAATCATGGCATCGTATGACACCTCCCACACCTGGGGAGTTTAGACTCACAATTCATCTCAATTCAACTCACCAGGCGGTTAGCAATGCAAGTTCTTAGTWACCAACAAATAATAAGTCGTCACCAAAATAGATGAGGATGATAAAGTAATATCCTTTGATAAATTGTGTTGAACATTAATCAGTTTTATGATGTTTTTTATGAGTAGATGTTTTATGTTAGTTGTTAGTTAGGAGGTGGGGACTACAGTAGTTATGTGAGTCCAAATTTTATTATGTTTTTGTGTCTTATATATGCTGTTTTATGTCTTGCCGCCCTACAAGGGCATAGTTGTCTTTGTATTGCTCTCCTTTCTTTTCAACTTCTCTTTTTCTCTTCTCCTTCTCTCTTCCTTCTTTCTTCAAGAAATTCCTTTTATTTCATATTTTTTTAATTCAGCAAACTTTCTACTTGGTATCAAAGCAACGGCTAGGGTTTCTAGAAGCATTCTCATGCAGCCCTAGATCAATCGACTGCGTGAAGTAATAAAGGGCTAAACGATATGTTGTAGATTGCCCAGTTCTTGGATTTTTTGGGGATCTAGTCATCAGGAAGGTGATCTAT